GATTTTATAATTTGCGAGTTGTAGTTTCTGGGATTTATAGTTCACCTACAATCAAAGAGTATTCTGACTTCCACCAACTATGGAATTGAACCAAACTTGACACACAGAACTCCCATGACCAACAGAAAATACAGGAAGGATTTGGTGGGCACTGACCTTTAGTTTTAGAATTGTAGTTCACCTACATCCAGAGAGCACTGTGGATTTAAACTATGATGGATCCGGACCAAACTTGGCACGAATACTCAAAATGCCCAACTGTGAACACTAGTGGAGTTTGGGGAAAATAGACCTTGACATTTGGGAATTGTAGTTGTTGGGGATTTATAGTTCATTTACAATCAAAGAACATTCTGAACCCCACCAAGGACAGAATTGGCCAGACTTCCCACACAAAACGGCCATGACCAATAGAAAATACTGTGTTTTCTGATGGCCTTTGGTAACCCTTCTGACACCGTCTTGCGACCCTCCCCAGGGGTCCCGACCCCCAGGTTGAGAAACACTGATCTAGACACACCAGATTACACGTAGAGATTGTAGTTGCACTGCCTCAGTGGTTTCACTTGTTCCAGGGCTGTACAGCTATGGCAGTGAACAGCAGACAGACTCAGCTGACCCTGAGTAGCCTTTTTTGCCAGTATTTTACTTCTTTCATGGCTGCTGCAGCCGTGGCTTTTCCCTCTCTGTTGTCACTGGCTGCCTTGGGGTGGTTATGCTGGCATAGGGCATTGGCAGGATTCTCAAAAATGTCAGAAGAAGGAACAGGTTTAAGCCCTCTATCATCAGTATAATTGATGGAACTGCACAGAAGTAGGAGAGTATAGTACGCAACTAACTTCATGTTCCATATCAAACACTTTGCTTATCAAAGACTGAAGGACAATCGGGATGGTAAGAACTACATAAAAGCATAACATTGTCGAGCATTAAGCATTTTAGGAGCAGTGATTTAATCATGAAACCAACAACAATGAATTGATGACAAAAGATATAATACTTCCACCTTGAATTAAAATCTGAACATATATTTAACAATATCTGGACAGCCCCACAATAGAAAATTTAATAATGGAAAGTGGGCTGTATTTAAATAAAATGTTTCTTCCACCAGAGAGTCTAAAGGCACTCTGAGAAATTTACAACAAAGTCCTTATGTAATTTGTATTCCTTTTCTCCTCATTGTCTGTGTATTTCTCCTGGTATCTAGTTGTCTTAAGTTCTCGTTGTGTATATTCTTTTTGTCCAAAATATTGCGCATGCAATTTCACAGGGATATCTCACTGCACTTCCTGACCATGAGAGCTGTTCAAAAGTGGAACTCTTTGCCTCAGAATTCAGTGGATTTTCCTTCTTTGGAAGCTTTTAAACAGAGGCTGGGTGGCCATCTGTCGGGGGTGCTTTGATTGTGCTTTTCCGACATGGCAGGGAATTGGACTGGATAGCTGTTGGGATCTTTTACAGCTCTTTTGCACCTTATCATAGAGAAGTAATAGAAAGGGTGATTTTGTTTTGATATTTATTTGTCTTGAGTACCACTGTTGTGACATTTTCATGTGGCATGAGAATTCCAATTAGCATTAGTGGTTTTTAAATACACAAATAAGATGTCAACTGTGGATAAATTAATGTTTCACTTTATGTTTTATCATTGGTTTTGACAGTGCTGAGCAAGAACACACAGATATTTTACAGTCTCTTAGGCAGCTATATTTGCTGGGGCTGAAGTCGGCAACTAGCTATTTTTTTCATGTCTGCATTCTTCAACCATGTGCACTAAGTGAAAATGATGCTGCTGGGATTTGCTTTAATATGCTTCTAGCTTTTACACAAATTATTTGTGGCAAGTGGCCCAGAAGTAAAATAAAAATGATCAGGGCTATGCATGTTTTCTCAGGTTGGCACCCTTTGATTATTTGTGGAACATTCCTCTCAATGAATTGTGAAGCTGAGTATAATTTTGCTTACAAGTTAAACTGTGCATGTAATATTTTTTTAACACAAATTGAATTAAAATGTTAGTTGCTCATTAGGAGAAAAACAGGATTCTTTTTGCATACTGGATATGGTGAATTTCCTTCTGCTTATCATGGCTTTGGCAAGATGCCTGTGCAACAGTAATTTGATAAGAAAAATCCCATTTCAATGGCGATGTGTCAGTTTGAGTTTGTACAGTGTGATGCATTTATAAATCTCACTACTTGGTCTAATAAAAGTATACCATTGTCTGAGTTGGTTCATTTCCACAGGGAAGAAAGAAAATCATAAGACAATCAATTTTAATATGAACGTCTTATAAGCTGTAGCAATAATAATGATCGTGTTCAACTGCATGTAAAGTACTACCCTTTTCAATGAATTATGTGCTGTTTTTGGTGTGTGTAACCGGTTGCTATCATTTGAGCATTCACACTTTTGTGAGTCTAAGCTGAATATTTGAATTTCTCTATTGGTAAGTTCTGAGTTTGGGTTGATAAACAGGTATGAAAAGTTTTGATAAGT